TGAATTTTCCAGACTACCTTACCAATTACTATATCTGTACGAAGGAATATTTTATGTTTCTAACGTTATTTTATTTAGTATTAAAGTTTCTCTTTTTATATCTTAGCTTGCACATATATAGATAGCACTTGTCTATTTATGGTTAGATGAAAAGAACAATTCTTTCGTAGCTCATACAGCACGTTTTGTGCATTATTTAAGAAATTTCGTGTCATTAAAAATCTCCAGCCTCTCATAAAAGTCACTAGGCGTCTCAAAAAGTTTTTTGAGACATTTCTCGAAAAGGATAAGTGAGCAATTAAAACTAATTAGTGAGAAATTATGGGCAATTAATGAGCAATTTTTTGAGTTATGTTTCATTAATATTGGTTAATATGGTAAGCCAGCTTCACACGGATAAATTTTTGGCCGATACGTTGTATTCAAAATCTTCAAGTTTTTGGAACACTTGCCTTTTTATTGGCCAAAGAGGGCGCTATAGGGCTGACGTGTTTGAGCCGCGGAAGAGCGAAAATGGCGAAATCGAAATTTGCAAAGTGCGCGAAAATATTGTTCCATCTTGGCGTAACATTTGATCAATAAAGCCGACGTTTGACGAATTGTATACTAAAAGTAGTTGATTTTGTAAGAATTAAAGAGTCTATCATTCATACGTCCGCTCGAGATTTTAATACCAAACGACCTTTGGGTCTGTTTGTACACAGCGGTGCGTAGTGCACTGTGGGACAGCAATGGTGGGCGCGTGATTTTGAACAAATTGGAGCTATCAAGGGAACACCCAGGTAAGAGTTAGAAATCTCATTATATTATCTGCAAGACAGTTTGGATGTAATTTAAATTAATAAAATGCGTATTAACAATTTTTCAAAAAATTATATTTTATTTAAAATAAGCTTCGTGGCACGCCCCCACCCAGCACTGTACGTACCTGATATGAACTGATAAGTTATAGGTTAAGTTCAATTTTGTGTGATTATAGAACGGAACTTGGTGCGAAGTTTATTTTATATTATTTATTGACAAGTTTAGTGATCCCTTTTTCGTTGTGCTTCATTGTCGAAACGATATGATTTGATTAAAAACTTTAAAATGCAGACAGAAGTTCAGTTCATGGAAAATGGCGCGTTCGAGTAATAAATGGCGCTAATGTTCCTAAGTAGACTATCCTTCGAATTTTTCGTCATTATTCAAATTTTGTTGTTCTAATTTTCAAAAGTTCGAATTTTACTCAATCTTTGTATTGTTGGATGCACGCTTAAATAACCTTGTTGCTCCTTGTACTTCAAGAATGAATTTTTCCTTCTTAAAGATTTGAATTTTTGAATTTTTAAATTCTCACTGATTTATTTCGTTTTCACGTCATTTCATGAATTGTTTAACATTTTGGTATTGACATGCATTACTTTATTTCTATATATGATATTTTAATGTTTCAAGCTGTATGCAAAGACAATTTACGGCAGTTAAATTTCTAACCTGTATATGTATGAAGTACATGTTTATAATGCAAGATTTGGTCATCTGAGAAACTTGATAGATGAACTCATTTAGAGCATAGTATAGACATATAGAATACATGTGCAATTAAAATATTAAATGATGTTAGATTAGCTTCAAGTTAATAATTTAATATTTTATAATAGAGTGGAGTAACACGCTTATAAGTTTATGTATCGTGTGTCAGATTCGTGCTTAGTTATGTAATTGATTTCTAAATTTTATTTAAACTCAAATATTTTTAAAAGTAATGTTGCTTTAAAGAGACATTCTAATAATTGGATGTATGTTGCACACAAAATAAATACTTATTTCACTGGTAATTATTTCATAAGGACAAAAGATTTTTTAAAGAAAAAAATAGTAAAACATAGAGATGATCGAAGCAAAATTTTTTAGATTATAATACATGAATAATTTAATTTTATATAATCATAGACAATATGTCAAAGCCATAGTCATAGTCATAATAAATTAATGTTATTATAACTATTTTTTACAATTGATAATAGTATATGTTTGTAA